TAAAAAAAAAAACAGATATAATATTCATTTGTTTAAAAATCACTTTACACATTTTATCACACTGTTATTTGAGAGAATTACATCACCTATCTTCTATTTCACATCCTAATGTGACTTTTAAAACTATGGAGTATGGTTTTATCTGTCCCTACTTATTAACTGAATTGTAGCTTTCGCTTATGGTAGGTAATATTATATTATATTTACTTACTTAATAGTTCATTTCTTACGGTTAACTTCAAAGTGAAAACCGATCTGGAGTTAGAAAGTGGGTCATTGTCGATTGTTGCTTAAATCTAAACGCAGTTATTTGATATATATTAGTAATTGAAAAACTATTGCAATTGCAACATATATGTATACCAATTTTTATTATGCAAGTGTGAAAAATGGGCAATCAATTCTATTTAAAGAATCCAATCGAAAGTGCTTAATTTCAATAGAGCACATTACACATCTTCCCAAAATTATTGTTATTATAAATTATAAAGTAAAAGATTATATTAATTAATTAAACTGCCAATTTTATTAACAGTTTAGTTCCCTCTCGTGTAACTAAATGGATTACTATAAAGCTTGGAATGGATACACAGCCATTGAGTGTTATAATCCCTTTAATATGAAAAGGGGTGAGACGCGTGCCGCTTAGATAACGAAAGGAATTATTTTTTCAATTATTTGTAATTATCATGTAAAAAAACCTTGGCCCTAAATGCATCGCGCTGTCCGCGAGATGAAAAATAATGTCACTAGGTCCATTACATTTGTTTATAAAACTACGCATCACAACTCGCCACTCGCACATGTATCCAATCCATGTATTGCAATCGGGAGGCATATTTTCTATCACTAACACATATACAAGTCGGTCCCCCGTCCACCGGGTGATTCGACTCTAATATTCATATTCACTTCTCCTGAGGAAAAAGGAAGCGGAAATCGAAGCGTCTAACAAGGATAACAGTAGTAAGCTAAGCTAATATGCGTGATTTCCGAGATATTTTCCGTCAAGATTCAAACACGAACACTTGGAGCATTCATCACGGCCGTAACGATACGGAGAAATCACAACTTAACGACACAATAAAGGAATATGACTTCTTCACATAACTAGAAGACAGGTATACAAAGACAATTCTTAGGAACATTCTTGTAAGAATGAAGAAGACAAGAAATAATTAGGTGCTTGTTAGCGTCGCGTTTTTCTAACGAAAATTTTTTCGAACTCTCGGACGGCGTGAGCGTTAAAAGAAGTAGAAACGATGCCTTTTGTCGTAGGTCGTTAGCGTTGCAATGAAGATCATTGTCAAGGCGCCGCCGGGTGGTGAGCGGTTAGCTAATAATTGCTTGCGCGCACGACATAATCACCGACAAGTGTGAACGAGGCACGAGGATATTTAAAATTGACATTATCTCGACTAATTCGAACGTATGAACGTATTGAACGAGATAAATTATAAAGATATATCATTTACACTGTTATTTAGATTTCCAAAATTCCTTCTTAACTTTTAAGAAAAGTTCTAAAAGCACAACAGGGGGCAAATTAGTAAAAACTTTTCACCCTTATTAAGGTGTTCTGTATGAAATAAGGACAGTAATAATTTAACCGAGGAAGGAAGTAGGAATTATTATTCGTCCTATTTATTGTTAATTTGTTAGTTATTTTTAAGAAAAAGTAAAGTATCAGCCTATTCATGTCCCACTGCTGGGCAAAGGCCTCCTCTGTACAGAGGGTATCAGGGCATAGTCCACCACGCGGCCCCATTGCAGATTGGCGGACTTCACATATTCTTCGAAATATATTTTTTGTTATTATTTCGAAAACATGCAGGTTTCCTCACGATGTTTTCCTTTTATTCCTAAAATTAACAATTTCATTGGTGCTGATTCCGGGGATCGAACTGAGGGGTTGCTCGAGGACATTGAATTAAAGGCAAGCGCCCGGACACTGAGCTATCACGGCTCTCTTTGTGGTTTAAAAACAATTAATTAGAAATATCTACGTACTAAAAAGGAAAAATCGTATTTAAATAAGGCAATGAACACGAATGCATGTCGCATTACATGTAGAACTGGGTCAAGATTAACGACCTTTAACTTGCACAGACCTAACATAGTTATGCATAGTGACATTCACACAGCAATGACCCTTGCGAAAGTAAACAATTCAATGAAATCAAAACAACATTATACATCGCCAGTGCAGGGTGATTAAACTGATTAATACTCGTGTTAATGTTTGCAGAGATAGATGTCAAGTGCGTATCACATAATATAAGACACATAATATAAAGAGAGCTAATCGAGCAATTTATTACCTAGCTAAGAACCACTAAGAAATTTGTTTACAGACAGATAGTCAAGATAAAAATATTGACTGTAGCTTCTCAGTACGTATGCAAATGTTATGTATGTCCATTAAAACAAGAATGAATTTTCAAGATTTAGTAATGTGCATGAAAAAATACTAGGAACAAGCATAAATTAGTTCTACCCTCATCTAGATTGCGAAGAATAAGTTAATCTTTTATGGGACAATTTCGTTTACAAAAAAAATTAAGAAAACGTTCAAAATGAATCTGTTGCTAAATTCAAACAACTTGTAAAGGAACGTTTGTGTATTAAAGGCTTTCAGTGATTATTTGAATAACTATCACACTCTGGAAATTAATTAATCACTCCAGACTTTTTCAGACAGTATTTAATAAATTATGCATATCTTGTTATTGCAAATACTCTAGGTTCTTCTCAGATCAGTGGCTTTTTTCCGAAATGGTTGTAGTGTTTTTTTTTTCAAACAATAACTAAGTGTAATGCTTCTAAATAGAATAAAGATATTTGAATTTGAAATATAGTGACACAAAACATCGCTTTTAAAAAATGGCTACTCTGCCCTTTTTTACCATCGATCCCTAAGTTTATAAAGTCTTAAGCGTGGCAATTAAGCGGTGGTAAAAACGAAACTAGTACTTGAATTTGTTTAGTTTTCACTTAAAATTATGGATCGATGGTGAAAACGGGCATTAAACTATCAAATGATAAATTTTAGTTACCCAAAAGTTAACTAGGTAAGTGTAATCACAAAATCAAAGAAAACAGATAATTATATCACTGATATTTTCCAATAATTGTCATATCCTTTACTATTACGTCGCCGATCATCTACGGTCGTGGTAGATTAACTAATATACATACATATCTCGAACAGAATTATTGCAAGAAATCAAATATCCTCTAGCTGGAAATGGTCACTGCATTTTATTTATTTTCCGAAAACGTCTAACAGGTAACTCTCGTTTCTATAACTAGATCTGCATTGTATTAACACTGCATTATATTATCATTAGAGAGTTAGACTATAGTGTACTAGGAGTTGATAAGATTTTGTATTATAGGTCATACTACAGAGTACTAACATTGATGACATTTGTAGCGTTGGTCAGAGTATAGTGCGTTAGGAGTTTATAAAATCAAACTGCCTCGATATTATGGAGAATCAGATGATAAGAAAAGGCCACAACATATTGCTTACCTAGTCCAGTATAGCAATTGCTCTTTGGCAAAGGTAACATCGGAGGTGTTTCAAATACGCCAAACAAATACCTACTAATGGACTTAAGAGTCGGCAGCTTTTAAGGAAGGCTCTGTTCTTAAGGGTTCATAAATCATATAGTTTAGGAAATATCAATATTAACCACTGAAATTTCTCACCGCCTGCATTTACTCACTGCAAACCCAGATCATTTACTTTATGAGCAGTTAATTTAACGCAATCAAAACACGCACGCAATGAATATAAAGCGCAGCGACGGCGCTACATGGACGGGCTGCATTAATAACTAAAATACACGCGCAAAATAATTCAAGGTTGTATGTACCCTTCACCGGCACACTCGAAGTTTTAAAACCAACTATCACTTACTTACCGCGCGCCTATCTTTAGAATGTTTATATAATTTTCCCTATAAGTTGAGTGACCGTACCGAACAGACCACCCCAATTTCATGACATAACCCTTTTTTATGTAGAAAAAACTGAAAGAAAAGTGTAAATTAATAAATGTCAATGGAAATTAATTTAATATCTTATTTAGGTAGGAATAAATTTTAAACATCATACATCATAGTGTAAGATAACAATGATGTGGTATGAAGAGAAAAATTCTACTAATCGCTTTTTTATTTGGATGAAAAATATATTTTATTGCGATTTCTTATATCGGACTAAACAGATAGCCGCCCTCTTAAATATTTTTATAACTGATGTTTTCGATTTAAGTCCTTAGACAATATTGGTAACGAACTAACAATCCTACTGGTATTATGAATGTCAATGGGTGGCAGTAACCACTTAAATCAACATTTAACCATAATATATAACTGGAACTTTTGGTCTAATTTTAAAAGTTTAATCTTTTAAAATTAGACCAAAAGTTCCAGTTAGACAACAATTACTGAATATAAGAATATTGATTTGCTGAAAGCATTGACCCTGAGAACCTAGTCAACATAGTCGTGACATGGTTATATTGTCATACAATGTTGTGTTCGTGAACTTCATTCTTAAAATCCAAACTCAGTCAATAACACTATTTGCATATAATATGCACGACTTTTAATAAAAAAGGATATGACTTGTACTCGTATCCATGATCTTTTTGTGCAACACGGAACTGAAATGAATATTTAATATTTTTATTAAAGAAAAACGTCTGTGTACGTTTATTACAATAAAGATTTTATCGAAGAATACGAGCTAAGCGGAAAAGCAAAAAATACTGTAGTGATCACTAATATTCATATTGCTTTTGAATAAAAAAGTGGTCGTAATTATGTTTTCAAAATATTTAAACAATATTTATACGATCAATCATTTTTACACTGTTATACCCCACCTGGGTGAAATACAGGAAGATGAGAATTATTAAAAAATATTAAATAATCTTAACTTTTGTTACGTTTAAAAATATGTATCAATTTCTTTTTCAATTCTTTCAGTTATCCCGACGCAAAAGAACAAAGAAAAATCACAAGCCACTGCGTCCGAAGACCAGCCTGATGTAGTCTCGACTGTCATTGGTGACTACGGGCGTTGGCAACTCCTCATGACATTTCTTTTAGCTATGTTTTCATTCCCGTGTACATTCCACATTTACTTGCCAACGTTTACGGTAAGTCTAGCAAAGAATTGTTCTTTCATATTAAACCAAAATATTACAACTCCTGAGAACATACTTGTTTTTTAAACACTGCCCTTATTGTAGGATAACATTATCCGGTGTTGTAAGGATATTTCAAATAACCAAATGTCACATGCTTTAATACTGAATATAACAAAGGAAAAATAACAATGAAACTTAACAACCGAAACGAAATCTTAACGATTAAGCTCTTGTTTAGGTGCTAGCCAAGAGCATAGTTATTATATAAGTTTTTAAACCGGCTAATAAACCAATTTAAAATCCTCAACGTAACCGATAGCAAACATTATTTCGCCTTAGTTTAAAAATAGAACAGTCTAGGTCACAAAACAAGACGGTAATAATATTCAAATTCAAGTTCATAGTAATACGGATTATTTATTTACATGCCTTTTTGTTGCCCGTACAACAGCCTCGTAGATAAAGAGACAAAGAAAAATTTGATTTATTGCGACACACTTGTACTTAATGAATATTAATCCAACTAGATATTCGTTTTTACGACTAGTATTAAAATTATTTTTGATAATAAACTAGTTTTATAATTAATAATGATAACTATATTATTATTAAATAAATCTATTATACGTTAATTATTTCGTTAAGATTTTTATTATTACGAATAAATACATCCCGGGTCTCTTTTGTAATTAAATTATGTCATAGGATCATACTGAAAATAACTAATTCTACATTCCTTATTTTACAGGCTAAATCTACAACATTTTGGTGTCGACTACCTGATAGTCTAGCGGGTCTACCCATCCAAGATTGGATTAATTACAGTCAACCAGTCGACGCGTGTTACGTTCGAGAATTGCCTGATGGCATTACCGCGGAAGGCATCCTGAATCACACGGCACCTGTTCTAGATACGTACCAGAAGTGCCAACAGTGGGACTTCGACCGTTCCGAAATCGGGGATACTATCATATCGGAATGGAACCTGGTTTGCGACAGATCAGGATTGACCAATCTAGCCGAAGTGGTGTTCTTGATTGGCGTCGGAATAGGCGGTGTTGTGGGTGGATGGATTTCTGACAAGTAAGGCGACTTAGCTTTACCACAATAACATAAACGAACCACAAAAACATTCAACATAAATGGACTCATTATCACGCACCTGCTATAGGAAATATTAGTTTAACTTTCCAAATGTATGAGGAAAATTCATATGCGAAAATCCATTGACAATAAACAGTTATGGATTTCACTTCGTTACATATGCTCATGTTACAAATAAATTTAAATATTTAAATCTATATATATAAAAGTAAATATAATTTTTTTATTCAAATTGCCAACCTTGTAATTTCAAGTTAGTGATCCTAATGTGTCTACGAGTGCTCGGCTTTAATTCAATATACTTGAGCGACCTTTGTTCAAATCCCGGTGCCAGAAACAATGAAATTGTTAAGCGCCGACTTATCAAGTCCTCAGCGGCGAATAGATCGTGAGGAAACCTACATAATTTCGAAATAATAACAAAATCGTGGGTGTGCTTATGTACGCACATAAGAAGCTATACTTCGTTAGCGTAAAAAAAATAACTAAAAGTTGTATCCCCTGTGCCACTACTCTTTTTTTGAGGAAAAGACATTTAAATAAATGTTAAAAGGTTGTTATTGGTTTCTATGCTAATGCCGTAAAGTTGGTCGAAGTTCCACATCGCAAAAATTTTACTATCACAATTTTTCCAAAAGTTCCAAAAGAACTATAACTTGAAAAATGTTTCGAAGATATGTGAAGCGTGCCAATCCGCAGTGGGGCTACGTGGTAAATTATGTTTTAATACGCTCTACAGGCAGTTACATTACTTTAATTATATCCTTACGTTAAATCATTAATAACCTTTAATTTTTTTTTACTGCTGCTCTCAATAAGTGGTTAATGTCTACAAATTTTAAATTGTTAACTAAAGAAAGGCCACGCATTAACTGTGATGTTTCACAACTGGGCAAGCTCGTCCGGGGAAGTACAGCTGAAATAAGAGCCCCGTGAAGTGGAACTACACTTTCACATTTCATGTACATGGATGATTGCAATCAGTTAAAATCAGGTGGATTGCCTGCTCGCTTGTCAACTTCACATGAACAGATACATTAATCGTTTCTTACAACTTACAGATTTGGAAGAAAACGCATCCTTATGGGCATGATGATTTGCCAGTGTACCCTCGCCATTGCTTCATTACTCGTGGGGTCTTACATCCAATACGTCATAGTACGCCTAATAATGGGCCTGGTTTCGGTTTCCGTGGTGTATGCCGCATTTGTGCTCTCCGTCGAGCTCGTTGGTGGCAACTGGGTGACGATTGCTGGTGTTTGCAACTTCTTCCCTCTACCTCTGGCCTATGTAATTGTATCGCTGCTGTCCCTACTCCTGCCGAATTGGAGAGATTTGCAACTGGCGGTCTCCCTGCCCGGATGTTTGTTGTTATTGTTATGGTAATTGCAATAGAAAATTATCTCATTAATTTGGTCATATATGTATATTTAATGTTTATATCGTATACATGGCGAAGTCGCTAAGCTATAGAATTCGGCGTCGAGAGTCGTGGGTTCGATTCCCACACGGGATAAGTATTTGTGTGACCCACAAATAAATGTCCTGGGTCTGGGTGTTTGATTCCCCAGGAGGGTTGACGTCAGGCAGACGGCCTGTCGTAAAAGCATAGACAAAACCGCTTACACCATGATTCATATGTGGGCCAACCTTACCTAGGTGGGATAAGGGCAGGAGGATTATGATGATGATCGTATATAACTTAAAAGTATTTACATTATATGATACTGATTGACATGCACGATGAAGTAAATTTACTGCATCGGAGATTAACAAAAAAATTAATAAAGTACTGGTTAACACGTATCACTTAAATATTTAAAAACGATTGAACAAGTCATTGAGAGTTGAATAAATGGCACGTGGCTTACGTGACGATTTTTAGCGACTGACACCTACCGCACGCCTAGTTGATTTTTTTCTAAATGTTACAGATTAAATAATACTTATTGTTAATATTACGTGTACACAATATATTTATAAGGAAATTGTATAAAAAGTGATAATATGATAAATTTCCAGGATCGTGCTGCCGGAATCACCGCGATGGTTAATTAGCAGGGGGCGAATTCAAGAAGCGAAAGAGATAATTGTAAAAGCGGCGAAATTCAACAAACGCGAAGTGCCGGACGATATGGACAAATTGATGATCCTGAGCAAGCCCGACACTGAGGTCGAGCAACCCAGCGTTCTCATGCTGTTCCAAGGAGCCCTCCTGAAGCGCACGTTCTGCCTGTTCCTCGCGTGGTTCTCCATGACAATCGCCTACTACGGCCTATTGTTGAACATCGGCAACTTCAACTTGGGCAACCTGCACGTGACGTCCATCATACTCGCCGTAGTCGAGATACCGGCGATCGCTATGAGCATCCCGATATTGCTGAAAGCCGGCAGGAGGATACCAATTTTCATCAGCATGCTAGCGTGCGGACTGGCATGCGTCGCGAGCGAACTGTTCTCTATATCGTTCGACGACGACTGGATCATGATCGCGTGCCTGATGGTGGGCAAGTTTGCGATTGGTGCGACGAACATGATGATGCCGATATTCACGGCGGAACTATATCCGACTCTGATCAGGAACCTGGGCGTTGGCGCCAGCCAAGTGGCGGCTGGGTTTGCGCTGATATGCATCCCGTATTTGTGGGAGTTGGTGAGTGATTGTATTCCCATAATTATAATAACAACTCGAAACTTCGTTGGATGCAGGCCACTTCAAACCGATCGAAGTGGAAATCCCTAGAGGAGGCCTATGTTCAGCAGTGGACGCCTACAGGCTGAAATGATGATGATGATAAACTATAATGAGAGATTATAGTCCCATAGTTGTAAAATAATACATAATAACTAATGGTTAGCACTAGATTTTGTCGTCCCGTAACTGCTCATGAAAACTGAAACTGATTTAATGGTCAATAACCCTAAACCAACATTTTCCTCTTTGTCCCTTCTTAAATTCAGATGACATAATATACACGTAGAGCAAATCAAATATTGTTTCATAAAGTTACTGACACGGGGCAGTAGCATTTTTAGACAAGTTTTTTTTAATGCGAAAAGTTGTCAAACAAGCAGACGGTTCATCTGATGTTAAGTGAATGCCGCCATGGACATGAACATCAGCTACACCCGAGGATTACAGATGCGTTGACAACCTTTGAAAATTGGGCTCCGGCTACCTCACTCACCAGATGAAACGCGAAAGTATTTGCCATACTTCCACTTTACGCTGGTACTTACCCGGACGGGCCTGCCCATTCGTGCAACAACCGAGCTTGCTGAGGCCCTATCACAAATATTAATAAAGCAAGTATTTATCACTTGGAATAAATACCCATAACAGCGCACATTCCTCGTGTTTTTCTTAGCATACTAAAGAACCAAATCAAATCACCAAAAATAAATCTTATCTTATTTTCAGACCCTTTTGAATGAACATCTGCCGATGGTGACCATAGCAGCATTAAGTGCAGTAGGAGGCGGGATCGTACTGCTTCTACCGGATACGACAACAATTAGCGATAACAAAAAGTAATTATTATTTGTGTTTTTATTTAAAATACGCAATATTCTAATAGGCTATTATCATGATTGTAAAACATAGCTTCAGAATACAACTGATAAAAACTAAAGAAAAATATAATTAGTTGATAAAATAGTAGTAAATAGATATTTCACCTTAACTTATTATGTATATGTACAATATTTAAGTTTTTGACATATTAAAATTTATTCGAAAAATAAATATAAATTGAAGGATGTAAATTGCTTGAATCCTGAGAAATAAAAATAGCAAAATTCCAACAGTATGATTATTTGATTAGCTTGGCGAATTTGTTTAAACTAACTTCGTTTAAATTTTGTACACAAATTAAAGATAAAGAGGTCATAAAAAAGGAGTTTAAATAGAGAAAAATTTTACCAGATCTACCTTTGGATAACTTCGATATTTTTTTTTCAGTATTGTCTTTTTTTGTTTGTAAAAAAAAGTAAAAATGCGATATTTTTTTGCCCTCTCAACATTTGTTTGGTGAATTTATGGTATGTTTTTATTTCTTTACAGAACTAATTTCGACAACTCTGCGCCATGCAATGGGACTTTTACTATTACCGACAGAGGTCACTAGTGAGCGAAACATGACACCGGGAAGCGTAATAAAACAAAAGAGTAACAGATATACAGTGTAAATATTGTACATAAACACATCTTTTGTGACATGAAAGTAATGATCTAATTCCGAATTTTAATACATTGTAAGGTTTATATATGTATAACTTTAGTTCGAAGTAATTATAAGTTTATTGTAGCTTTTAACGTTATTGCCTATATTAGGTAGAAACAAACACTCTTTCAACGTTATTTTTCAACATTTCCAACAAAGTTATTTTAAACATTAAATATTTTACATCGTTTATACAATCTCTTTAGGAGTTTGTATACGCGATTATTATTTAACCTTTTTTATATTTTATGCGAGCAAAGCAAATTTCTGTGATTTTGTAATAAGTTATTAGTTTAAAATTCATTAGATATAATACTTATTAGCGTCGGCTTATAGTTTTATTAAATTTTTTTCTAAATGGCATGCCAATCGTCGAAAGTAAAGTAAGTAATCATCTAAAGTAAGAAAAGTAACGAACGAGTAAAATGAATTTATAACGAGCTGTTAAAATATAATGTCTGTCATTTAAAGAAAACCTATATTGAATGATATATTTTCTGTCTTTCAATAAAAATATTTTGATTTGGTAAACACTTGCTCTTTTTGTGACAGAAAGAGTGTTTTATTCGATTTTACAGAGAAATATGGAAGAAAACGGAATTAACTTTAAATGGCAAATTATACTTTAATATTGGAAGAACTTCATATTACTTCTTAATATGATATTAAAAAGAAATGAAGAAGGTAATATTAAATCATAATACATAGTACTAAATAATATCAGAGTTCAGAAAAATAATATTTTGTAGCAAAGTTAACTTAATAAGTAAAGCTAGTATAAAACAAAAATATGTTATTCTTAAGATTTAATTGCATATTGTATGGTACCTGTTATCTAAGGTTTTGCATGTCTAAGTTTCATTAAGAAGTATGTTATGAATCCAAATAGGCTTATGTACTTATATAAACTTATCATCTAGTATATCAATTTTATAAAGAAACACTAGGAATCATAATAAAAAATGTCCTTAAGATTATTGGTTTTATTTCACTCGTTTATAATAGTTTCCTTTGCGATTGAGATTATTTAATCTTGCGTTTTCTGAACCTAACTTGGTATTGTTGGCCGTTATATAGTAACTCAGTTACCAACAGAATGCAAAATATACAGCAACAAACATTATATCTTCCTTCAATTAGTACGTATTCCTTCAACACATTTTATAAAAAGACACTAAAGAAGACGGCGGAAAATTAAGAAAGGGGCTGTGCCTACCAAGGTATTGTAATGTGTCCATAATTTACATTGAAAAATAAATATTGAGTTTTTGTTTTATCGCATGGTAAACCTCATTTTATTATACCCTATTTTTCAAATATTATTCGAAAATCCTCATTAATATTTCAAGGAAAAAAAATTCAAATCAATGAAAACAAAACTAGTCATGTAAACAAAAATATTTTTTTATGTGACAAAGTGGCAAACGAGCTGGTGGTTCACCTGATGTAAAGTGATAACCGCCGCCCATGGACATTTGCAACACCCTTAGGGTTGCAAATGCGTTGCCACCTTTAAATAAAGAGTGCCCCGGCTACCTCACTCACCAGCCGAAACGCAGAAGTGTTACACATCCTCATTTTAATGGTAAACTATTACTACTAGTATTCCTAGGAATACTAGTAGCATATGTAACAACGTATATACATTAACGTGTGTTATAAGCGACACGGTATCTAGTCAGTGATATTATATACAAATACGATTTAGGTATATATGACACTAGCGCACCCAGTGTCCGATTAAGCAAGCGCAGGGGCAAATTCTTTCAAAGAGCCCTTGATCTGCTATGGGACCTTAAATATAAAGTGGTAAAAAAAAATCAATACTCAGTACGTTTATTCAAATTCAAAATATCTTTTTTCACATATACGCTTGCGCGTTCTTATTAAACCACAAAATTTAACATCAATACGTTAAATTAAAAAATGATTACGTTCATTATTGACCACCGGTTCGGAAAGCACTTTCTGTAAGAAACTCAACAGTCAATCTTTTTTAAAAAGATTAGTGTACAATATAATAGTACAGGTATAAGTCTTATTTTAACCTATGTGGGTATCAACAGTATTAACTCCACACATTGGCGTCGTCAAGATAGTCCGCAATGGCCACGGTTAAATTGATCAGTTGACAGAATATCGACTATGGGATTTTATTATACATGCGCACACTTTGTTGCCCCATGAACAACCTATTTACTTTTCTTAGATTAAACAGTGGCGTAGTTACTTTTCCTTATTTCTAGTATTTAATTTATGTCTGTCACTATTCTAGGTAATAATTAAGATTATGTCTAACATACAAAATATTACAATAAATATATTGAGACGCAACAGTGAGTATAATTAATCTCTTTAAAAAGATATCTGAGTGTATTCTGGCCTGCGATGTTATAGATTTCTCAGACAGCTCTTTTTTGAAGAATAAATATAGATTTTTATATCAGGTACAACCCACAAAAAAAATCCCTACGATAAGATGCTGTGAAAATAACTAAAGTAAACAAGTCTGGCAATGTCGATGTCTAACCTTCGTAATCGTGGAATATTTAATAATAAATAATTTATAAAACTTTGCCTTCTTACACTAGGAAGACTAAAATGTATTATACATTTAGTATTTTGGCAACTTAATACCATATTTTTAATGGTAAACCAGTAGATGATATATAAAAGTGCATCATTCACGTCGTCATAATTTGATAAATTTCTGTCAACCTTAAAGATGAGCAAAGTATCGTCAGCAAACAGTACAACGTCACACAACTCTTAGATACTTTTTGAATTCTATTACTAAGGTAAAAGGCAATGAGATTGAGGGCGCTGCCACGAATGCCATAATGAGTTTGCGAAGAAGGGTTTTGTGGTCTATACAGTCAAAGGCTTTTGAAAGGTCACAAAAGACACCTATTGAATCTTGTGATCTTTTCCAGGCGTTATATATAAATATGTTTGATAAGTGCGATGCCCGCATCTGTTGTCTATCTGCCTTTAGTGAAATCTGTATTCCTCATCGTGAAAAATTTTGTTCACATTCAAATGTACTAAGAGTTGATTTCATATTAGCCATCTATAGGTTACAATTTTGTGGGTAATGTCGTAGATTACTATAGGACCTGCTGCATACGTATTTATAAAACACAATCATTAGATTCATAATTATTTTCATGTTCTTATAGAGCGTATCTTTACAATCGCGACAATAAATGAACACACATATAGAAGATAATTTTTTAAAATTGTATTAAACATTTACATTCTTTAAACATCAATATTTACAGAGTTATAAAATTTTCCAAAACAAAGAATTTTAGAACATCCTTACGTATAAAACTGTAACGTAAAGTTCATTTGTAAAGGTCACAAAGCATATGAATGGGTTGAATGAATTTAAAAGAGACAAAACATACTGTTAGAAGGAGAGGCTAGTAATGCGATACTATGGCAACGAATGAAAAAGTCTCTGAATGTATGAATCAGTCAGTTGTAGTTGTATAGGCTGTTACAAATTTTATTTCTTTTTCACTTAATTAGTTTGTTTGAAGAAAAAAATTAATTGTGGTTTTTTTTAACGTTAATATTTTTTTATAATTATTGCCCACTGGTTCTGCGCCAGATGAAGCTTTAATAGTCTCGGGACTGAAAGCACAAACATCAGTTAATACAAGAAGGAATATGCAGCCTTCAAGATGGTTATGGAAAAAAAAAAAGAAATTTACCTAATTTAACACGTAGTACATAATCACAGTGGTAGGGGCCCGCATTAGTTCGCTGTTTCACGAATGGGCAGGTCCGTCCAGGGAAGAACCACGATGTCACAGAAGACCGGCGTAAAGTAGAAGTAATATGTTTCTGCGTTTCGTCTGGTGAGTGAGGTAGCCTGAGCCCACTTCATCAAAAGATGGCAACGTCTTTGCAACCTTAGTGTTGCAAATGTCCATGGGCGGCGGTTATCACTTACCATCAGGTGAAGCGCCAGCTCGCTTACCATCTTATCACATACAAAATAAATCATGTTGAGAACTTTATTATTGTCTGTTTTTCGAAAAATATTGCTTTGTTAAAGTTTCCTTAGCCACACACAGTTGGAGAGGTAAATAATGGGTCGCTAATAAACAAATCGATTTAATTAACTTCCCTTATAATATGCAGATATGTGAAGATTATCGTTGATTAACATTTATCTTGAAATTTTATTTTATTAAATTGAATCTGAAATCAATAGAAATTAAAAGAATGTAACATCTTTAAAACAGAGGCGGCAGCAATATTCTATTAGCTATTTAAACCAAGAAAGACAATCATTCAAGACAGGCGAACACTAAATTGCCAGCCAACGTGATCAGTCTCAATATGGCAGCATTCCACAAAACGTTTATTATTCACACGCAAGTAGACTTTACGTAACGATTGTGTTGTATGTATTATTTATTAGAGTATAAATACGAGACAACATGTGTTGCATTGTGTTGGAACTAAAGAGCTTTTTGGAACAAGTTCGTGAATGTTTTGACATTAGGTTGTTTTACTTTTAAACTTTGATTTAAGAAACCTTGAAGAAACGAAGTAATAGTTGCTCCCCGAGCATAACTTTAAGTTCTTATTATTTTCGAATAATTCACAGAGTCGCCTGAATTAATCAACGGCCTCATCAGTTTTAAGTGTTAAGTTTTGTCGAACTGAACATTTTATTGGTATAAAAATAACTGCAATACATTGAGGATGAGACAGTATTTAGCTGCAGCGTAAAGCGGCTATCCATAATGATAGAAAGACGGATATACATAAAATATGTATATAAATAATAGCCTATGTCTTATTCTCATGTATAAGCTATATCATTGTAGTTTCATTAAAATCCATTCAGTAGTATTTGCGTGAAAGAGTAACAAACATCCATC